GATAAGCTGGCTTTCCCATTTAAGGACACTGCCACCCTCCTGCAGCCGCTCTCCTCTCCCCACAAACACAAGAGCAGAGCCCTCTCCTATGAAGAGAGGAGGGGATGGCTGGGTGTCAGAGACTTCTTCAATGTCCTCCTCTTCCTCCTCATGTAGGTAGGTATTCAAAGAGCTAGCACAAACAAGATACTAGCCAACAATGGCTTCCTCGGTGTTGCATTGATGAGTGACCCGGAGAAAGCATAAATAGAGAGCTAGCTATCCGGTGTTCTTCTCCAAGTAGTTATTCATTCCTTCTCTGCTCTACTTCTACTTCTGCTGCGTCTGTTCCCTTGGCTATCTTCAGCCTCTCTGGTTTTCCCTTCTTGTTTCTGCATTCCATTTCATTCTCATTCACTAGATCTTCTCATTGCCCGCCCGCCTGCCTGTCTGGCTGCCTGCCATGGAATCCTCCCATATCACCGGGGATGGTGGCGAGGGCTGCAACAGCAGCGAGTCTGGGTGGACAATGTACCTGGTCTCCCCCATGCAAAGCCGCGACGACGACGATGGTGGTAGCCGCAAGGGAAGCGGCAGCGATGGAAGCAATGTCGATGATGGTTATGGCTACACTTACCTCGTCCGTGGCAGGAAAGGAGGCAAGGAATACCAGGACGATGGCGATGACAACGACTCCCTTGCCTCCGATGCTTCGACTGGACCAGCCAAGGTCAAGGCGCAGCCCTCGTCGCCTGACGGCAAAGAAAGCCAAGGCCATCGAAAGGACGGTGACAACGACGGCGAGAAGCGGGAGGAGGACGAGGAAGAAGAAGACAGGCACACCAGGTTCTCGACGAGCTCCCGCAAGAAAGCCGGCAACAAGGCGGAGAAAGGGGGCGAGGGCAAGTCATCCAAGAAGAAGGGAAGCTCCTCAAGGACAAGCTTCTTTTGGTAAACCAAATGCTTCAGAATCATTGTTCTGTACTACTAGTAGCAAATAGCAATATGTATGTGCCTTATGCATCATCGGTCGATATTTTCCATTTGTTGTTGAAGATGGGAATGCATCCCTCATTGCTAGGAGCATTGGAGAAGAGGGAGGAAGGCTTTTTTTGGGTCCTCAGTTTTGCCTTCCGTAGTGTTCTCCCATGGTTGACCACCCCCCCAATTACTAGTAGGGTTAACTGTTGCTGCCATGTAAATCTACTGCAACCTTCGGTTATTATTATTATTATTCAATGCCTTCCTGCTTTTACTGCTGCTTGCAATCTCCTGCTATGTTCCTAGCTACTAATGGAGCACTGTTCTAACTCACAAGCTACACTCTAGCCAGACAGATATTTGCGAGCAAAACATGCATTGAAGCATGGAAATAATTTAACAGTAAAGAGAAGAAGAAGCCAAGTCAAATTAATTGCCTTCTGCATCTTCCCATTGCCCAGACTCTAGAACGTCAGCAGTGTGCAATGCATATGTTTTCTTTAACATAAATCTATTATTACTAAAAGAGGGTAACATGAGGCCCACATGCAATCTTTCTGCCAAAATCATTTGCACGGCATTTCAGCAAACCAAATCACTTCTTTGCCTTTTCCTCCAACGGCTCGTCACCTAAACACAGCCCAATCATAGACAAACAGGAACATGCATGCATGTATCACAACACAGGCAAACATACCAATAGCTTTATGGAGAAAAAATCCTTGCCAGCACACGCTCTTCAGCAGTGCGCTAAGCAGATTCTGAGAGCAGGTGACCTTGGCTTGGCTTGAAGTAATTTTGTTGGGTGCCCATCATGTGGCAAGTATATAACAATCACGCCAGAAGAATTATGTGGCCTAACCAAACTCCAGAGGGGAATATTTGTCTAACCAGACCACTCATGCAGCATTAAGGCGGCAATTGCTGCACATGCTCTAGACAGGGTGGAAACAATGATTTGGCCATCAGACAGACAGGGATAATCAATAGCCATAATAAACTAACCAACAATCATGTAAGCTGGTTCACGTACTAAAACAGCTACTAGTATCTCTCTTATTTTTCTCTATCCACACCAAACGGTTTCTTAAAAATAAATCGCTTTTATGTTTTTAGAAGGATGTTATGTGGAAAGGGCAACATGATTACAGCTAATGCGTCGCTTTTTCAACAAACCTAATGTGGTGTTGCCATGAGCTGCTATACTTTATACGATAATTAAACAATGTACGTTGCATCTTCTAGGATGTGGCGGGCAACTACATGCTGCAGTTAAGCCTCGCCACCCCCAATGATTTGGCATTAGATATCTTCACCTTCATAATAGAAACATATGATTGGCACTGTAGGTATGCACCGCACAATAAAGCAATGTATATCACCTGCTATGGATGTATGGTTCCTCCGATTACACAGCAGCAACTTCCTAAAGGCAGCTTTGGCGTCGGTCTCGGATCATCCTTTGCTTCAAAATAATGCAGGGAAGATATGCATGTCTCTGAACAGCAGTCCCTCTTTCCTGGAAGAGAAGAAATCTATCAAAAGGAGCCTGTAACTGGAGCTTGGGATATATAACTAAGTCTGGGAAATATGCAGCTTAACTGAAACAGCCCAAACAAGGTAAAACAAAAGTAGAATTGCTCACACTTCAGACAAAAAAAACATTGAGATGGCCCTAGTGTTGTGATCCTTGCATGCTACTGCTGAAGATTTTGCAAGAGAGCAAATGACCTGAACCAAATCTGTACATCATTTTTCTTCTTCAAACCATCCTTATTTACTCGATGATTCGAGAATGCGTGCTGAAAAAATCAAACTGGGGCCAGTCAAAGTTCACAGGCAATTTCAGTACTATGAGATTTTAAAAGTTCTGAGTCGTTTCCTTGTATTCAACGAACACCAACGAGTTCCGGTCCATTTTTAGCACTTGGGTGATAAGTTTTAAGGGGGGCACAGCGAAAACCTTTTGGGTGGGAAAGTTCAAGGATGACTGCCGCGTACTTCTCCCTCATCCTGCTGTTTTCAGGTGTCGCTGGATAACCGTGAACATGGAAGTTTCAACGGAAGCACAGGCGTATGGTGAAGCAGCGCATGACTGTGCTAATCGAAACTGTACGCACAAGGTGATTGGATCATCTTGCCGTGTAGAATAACAGATTCTCAAAAATACTGTGGTTGGAGATGAGCCACTCTAGGAGAATTAGGAACAACCTTTAGCTTCTCGGCCTCAAACACCTTGGCCAACTAAGAGGAGCACATAATCTTCATTACGTAAGTAAAATAATCCTGAAGACTGAATAGCCAGTATGCTTGTCGACGCAAGTTCGAAGAAGAGTTGCAGTGGATTGTCCACCGGGCAAAGTGAAAGAAGTATTCAGAGCAGCACATAAGGTGCAGAGCTTCAGATAATGCAGCACTTTGGAGCACTCTTTGTGCTCTTTGTTGTAACTTCAGCTTAGTTTTTCCCCCCTTCTGCATAACACAGTAAAAAAAAACTGTGGGAAGAATTCCTACAGGTTCGGCTAAAAAAATACTCCCTCTATAAACAAATATAAGACAGTATAGTGATATAAAACATCTTATATTTGTTGACAGAGAGAGTAATAATTATGCAGCATAAGTACGAATTCCCAGATATAACACATAAATACCATAACAACACATAGGAGTAGTTCATATTTGCTGCCACCATTACCTACAGCAACCGAACAAGCATGTTCATATTTCCTCAACTTCTCTCAAATCCAAGTTGGATGCATATAAAGTTCAGATGAAAACAATATAGCTGCTTCCACATGACTGTCAAAATATTATAATCAAGAAACCTAAGACGGTATATTATAACAATGATGGGGCAACACGATGAAGATTCTTTCAGCCAATGTCAACTTCAACTTGCATGAACCATCAAATATGCCGAAGCTCTTCTTGCAAACAGAATGGTTATGTTGCCAAGCTCTTACTGTGCCCTCGAATTACCAAAGGTACTAGTAAGAAAATGCTTGGTAATATTACCATAGCCAGGTATTCTGATTCTAGTTATGTAGATTCCTTACATCATACACATGTGGTCCTCGACGGTTGACCTCTTTTCTTTCAAACAATGGTTGACCTCTTTGGGGATGGCATAATTAAAAATTTGGGAGCTGCTCATAAGGTTTTATAATTCACAACCATGCATCACAATTCGCAAGTAGATTAAGAGGTGAACATATTTTGTTCAGGCTCTGTATACTATGGCATATAATATGAATAAATAATGTGGTACGGGATGTAATGCGGTTTTGTACAAAACCATGGGATATAGAGCACAAAATTCATATATATACAAGCTGCAAGGCCTTTGTTATGCTCTGTATTCATTTGGACAAAACCAATGAATGCCTTTTAACCAAGTATGTGCTTCCAATCGGGTAGCCAATGTTATGGTCTATGGGAAACAAAAAGAGAGAAGACATTTATTCCATGTGTTCTTGCTTCTTAAACAGTCAGCACTCTACAAGATGACAACTAGAAATTGAACACAAAAGGAAGAACAAGAAACTCCTCCAGATTAAGCCACAAAACGGTTTTATTCTGTAACTATATTTTGGATGACCAATTAGAAAATATGGCACCAAGAAAAGGGATTTGACACATAATAGTAGAATCTGAACTGGCACATACGTCCGAAACTCCCACTCACAGTGCAAAACAGACCAAATCAGTAGTTTTCACTACCCGCAAGGGCCAAACCGAACCAAACCAACATTAATAGCCCATTATGCAGTGTTCAATAAGCACATCCAGAATATTTAAGGAAACCAACTATTAGCATGACGATGCAAAATACGGAAAGCACGTCTCAGAAATACTTTTGCCTTCTTATTTCCCAATTCCCATGATGATACATCGCTTACATAGGAAAAGGGAAGAAACTAAAAACATTCTATACATATAGAAATGATATTTCTTTTGATGAACTTACTAGTAAGCCTAGTAATAACTAGTACCTCATTGAGTACCAAGAAATTAAGTCTGGAAAACAATGCACCAAAGCATTAGGAATTCTCCTCCACACTGGATGAAGTCTTCCTAGACTTCTTGTCATCAACATACAACTGGTAGCCGTATGAAATAAAACCCCAGATGGCTATCAGCATAGCTATAATCTTTATTCCATCCATTTTGTCGTGAAAGAAAATCACTGCGAAAACAGGAATGATGGGTAGAGCTAGAGTGCTTATCACATTTGAAAAGAGTGATGAAACCACAAAGATCAACCCCACAACTCCAACAGAAGCTATCTGCCATGATATAGCTGTCCATAGCACTGTCATTACATAGGACACCTTCCCTGGGCTGAACATGTGCATCTCTCCCTCCAAAGTCTTCCATTCACCACTTGCAAACAACCCAACAAGAGAAGCCAATGTAGCCACAAATGCCGTATAAATCTGCATGTTCAGCACGACTGAGAAGGTCTCCCTCTTAATAACCTTTTCAAACGTAACTTGCATGAGAGACAGAATAAGTGAGTATGTGGCCGATGCTCCCAGTGTCAACACAAAACCCAATACATGATTCCCTTGAGAGATATCACTACTGCTCGGAGAATCCTCATCAACTCCAAGGAGCGAAGCGGAAAATGTAAGGAGTAGTACCGAGTTGAATATCAAAGGGGTGAACTTTTGGGCATTGAGAAAATATGAGAAGACGGCGTTGAAGGCCAGCTGACTAGCACAAACGAGGGAGTAAGTTGAGACAGGAAGATACAATAGACCGTAGGAATACATCAAGTCGTCTGCAGCAATGATGAGTCCCAAGGCAATGTATATCAGAGTGATTTTGGTGATAGAAGCTTCAGGGCCACTGGTAGTTGCTTGTGTGGAAGGTGACTTTGGACGGAAAAGAAATTGGGCAACAAACAACACCGGAAAACCAGCAGTCTGGACAAACGTGGACAACCATTTGCTATTGCCACCTTCATTGTAGTAGAATCTCCCTAAGAGTGTTGCCGACGTCTGACCAGCCACAAGGAAGAACATGTTCAGTACCACCATCAACCACCATTGCCAGTGCTTAACCGGAGCGCTTTGTGGGGGTGCTTCATGGGCCAAGGAAACTGCGGGTTTGGAGGATCCTGCAATTTACAATTGGAAAGCGATACCGACAGGTCAAATCAAACTGTAAATTCCGAACATGGATGATAGTAAGACATGACAAAATGTTTGGACGAACTCCAACAAACAGGATTCCATCCATATGGATGCATTGAGTCTAGCTGTTGCTCTCATCAGCCCTTAAAACCCTGTCAGATGAACGAAAAACAGGGGATTCTCACCACTGGCCAAATACGTGGATGCACATGGGTTGCATCTTGCATGACTGACAAAATACTTGAATGCACATGGAACTCCTACTCCCTCAGCAGAGGTAGAGGTGGGTGGCATGACCACACACGTGCAAAGTGCTAACCACCGGAGAGCACACAGCACGAAACATGGATTTGGCACTCACATTCGTGCATGCAGATTACAAGGGAAACACTAATCCAAAGCCTAGTTCGCCATGCTCGTGAATAAACCCGTTACTGCATACGGCCAAGATGCCGTACACAATTCATCGAACACCTCGCGCGCGTGCGCTCACTCCCCCACCAACGGACGGACCACCAAATTCCTTGGAGACGAACCAAGATAAACAGCAGTTTTGTTTGTCTACGGGACATGGGTGCCCCAGCCAAAGACGGGCCGCGCGACCACATCATGAAGGTGAGCTCCTACTATCAGGGTTTCCACGTATCCGAGGCGAATTCAACCAAGGAACCAGCGAGATATCTCATCACGCGCTCGAACCAGAAGCGAACTGACCTGCGATTTCTATCTGGACCTCCTCCTGGCCGCTCCCGCCGCCGCCGCCGCGGACGGCGCTGCTGTTGCCGTTGCCGTCGTCGCCGGCCATGTCTCCGCGGAGGAGACGCTCGCGGGCGCGATCCAGGTGGAGGACGGGGAGGGGGGAGGCAGTGGCCTGGTCCGTCAGCGTGGGAGCGCCGCCGCGCGGGGTTGGGGGTGGGTGTGGAAAAGAGGCCGCAGGGCACTGTGTCGTCTCGCGTCGCTCGGAGTCGGAACAGAGCTGCTCCTACTAGTCCTTTTTGTTCCGTGCCGATGTGCGTCCCCGCGGGCCGCTTTTCGCCGTCGCTATCGTACCGTGTGACGAAGACTAGCCGCTAGCGCGGACCTCTCTGACGCTGGCATCGCATCGAATCGCATCGGGTTCGTCCGTGCCACCGGCTCGAGATCGCGAATTTGCAGTGCCCCACCAACGGCTGTGGACTTGTGGTTGCAGTTGCAGAGTACTCCGGGATTGACCGAAGAGAATGAGTGAGCAGTCGCGTAATTCTCCCGATGATAGGACAGGGTGGATGAGATTCTGAGAACCCGAACTGGAGCAGATTGAGACGAAAGATGTTTTGATGTCCTGCCTTTATGCGTGCAACAGCGATGGGTGAGAGATTTTTCTTGATCTCGATGGGTAGATTCTCTGCGGTCCCCGGTTGCGGCGGCGCCGCCGTCCGTCGTCCGCATACTTTGACTTTGCCTGCTGCAGGCAACTGCCTTTTTTTAGAAACTTTGTTGTGCGGTCACCACGTTTGCGCGGAGGCCAGCCGTAGAGTCAGACCATGTGTTTGCGAGACTTGTGAGTTTCAACATTTAAGGTTCGAAACTCATAACTAATGATGCAAGAATTAAAACTTAAAATATGCTCCCTAATCTCATTAATTGTTGCGTCATAAGGGACGCGCTACTGCTAGCGGAGCTTGAAGCCAATCGTTGGGCGAGCCAAAACAAATAAAATAGCATGTGGGTTGGTGTTCATGCTATTAGGATGGGTCATTTGAAATGAACGGAACGTCTGGGTCTTTCGACAAAAGAGTATGCCTCCAGCGATTTTGCTAAACAACATCAAAAGTGAAGCCATCCTCTGGGGGTGAAGAAATTGGGCAACATCATACCGGGAGAGTAACACTCATTTGTTTTTCAGTTACCAGGTGTATTTCAAACTCTATTCTCCCTTAATTAATATATGAGGCAATTTTTTGCCTCGGTTTTGAAAAAAATGTGCAAAGTCTAAAATGCTCTGCGGGCCATGGCCCATTTGCCCTTGCCATAGCTCCGCCGGTGTAGCTTCCAGTCTGAGGCAACAAAGATCCTTCGAAAGGTGTCC